TTTCTCTAATCCTACCCTTAGCCAAAATAAATACATGCCAAGTAGTAAGACAGCAGTATCCCACGACCTGAAGTAATTGATAAAAATTGGGTTCTCAGCCACTGTTTCCCCTGGTTTGCCAAAGGTGGTGGTTGGTGCCCACCATGCCAGGAGTTCCAGCTCCCTCGTGAGCAGTGCTTTGCCCTTCTGGAGATGTGATGTGGGGAGGGCAGGGTCCCCAGCAGCCCCCATGGAAGCCCATATTGCCCCAGAGCCCCTCCAGGATCCTCAGGGCTCCCCAAGGCCACAGCAGCTCTTCCCCAGGGGTTCCTTGCTGTTCCCATGGAGAAACATCAATGTCTCACACCACCTAAGGACACACAGCAACTTCTTTCTTTTTACTATTAGACAGGGGATGACACACTTTACATTTTGGAGTTTTCCTCTGAAAACCACCCCCAATCTTCCTATACCTGCACCTATGGCTGAAAAGTGTGAAGAACGGGATAAAAAAACACCCCAACTCTCTTCAAAGAGGAAAATATTCTTTCAAAGAGAAAAATAATGAAGCAATGTGGTCCAACCAGCACAGGCTCCTTGGCAAGCACAACACCCACCCATCCTCATTCCAGTGGGATTCAAGAGCCTCCTAAACAGATCGGGTTCTCCTGAGATAAACACAGGACTGAGGCATCAATAGTGATGTTTTTTCAGGCTGCACATCCCATCAAAGCCCAGCCAGAAGCAGCCCTGCTCTGTGTACACTGCAAAGCAGCTTCCCTGATCAATGAAGTATTTTCTTAAGAAGTGAAAAATCACTAAAGTGCCTCAGATCGAGCCTTTAATTTTAAAATTAAACAGAGTGGTGAGAGGAGATGGTGGAGATGGAGAATAAAACAGGACCTCATTTCTTACCTCATCTTTAGCACCTGACTTCCTTATCAGAGCTTTTTGTATGTCTTTTCCAAACAAGCTTTCCTTTGATTTCCAGAAGGCAAACTTTGTGTTTGCACTTATGTTTTTAATATTGTATTAATTACCATGGGTATAATTTTAAAGATTGTATCGAGATATCAAAAGATAATACAGTTGCACTTAAATTTGTCAGCTGTGCAATAGCTTGCTCTAATTTTAGATTATCAGCTCTGGAGACCTGCTCAAAGAGTAAGACTGACAGACTTTTTAATGGAGAAAATCAGAGTTCCCCTGGGATCCATACTTTTTTCTGATTCAGTAAGAAATCCCAGTGGCACTTGCTGAAAGGATCCCAGGATGGAAAATGACAACTCTCTAAGAATTAGCGCTTCTCACTCTGATGCAATTCCTCCAAATCTACTCTCCCTCCACAGACCCAGCACAGAGCCTGCTACCTCTTCAGGCTTTTCAGCAACAGGAGGGTGAAATGTCTGCTCTGAGTGCTCCAGTCCAGTGCTGTGTGTCAAACTGAAGTGAAGGAGCATGAATCTGTATAAATAGACAAATTATCCACCCAAAATATGTCATTTAAAATTGAGATGCTGACACACCTACAGCACCGCTAAGCGGGGACTGCATCATTGTTTCAATTAAATATCCTTGTTTCTTCTTCCCCAGAAGCCTCTGGAGAAAGGTCTGGTTTGAGGGCAGCCACAGACAGAAAGTGACTCCAATTAAAGGCTGGGGAGGGCGGGCTGGAGGCACAGCCATCACCTAACAGGGATCAGATATCAGCTGTGATTTACACAGCCACAGAGGCACTGAGCAAGGCAGGGAAAAGGACCAGGCTGAGCCACTGCCATTCCCACTGCTATTCCCACTGCCATTCCATTCCCCTGCCATTCCCAGTGCCATTCCCAGTGCCATTCCATTCCCCTGCCATTCTCAGTGCCATTCCACTGCCACCCCTCACCATCCCACTGCTCCTCACCATCCCAGCTCCTTCCCCTTCCATCATTCTGCTGCTCACAGTGGCCCACCCAGGCAAGCTCGGAGCAGCTCATCCTTCAGCCCCTCCAGCTGTCACGCACCTTTCCTGGTTCTCATGTCCCATATCTCATCAGAGGCTCTGGTCTATCCTTCTGAACTCCAGGTTGTTAATTCTAGCAGAAATATGTACCTGTATGCATTACTTCTACCTCTTGTGCATCTCCTATGGTGGATCAGTGGGGGTTTGCCCTCAAAAATCCTAAATGAAGCAAAATTGCTTCCTTTGCATTTTCTGAAGAGCAAGTACAGAACTGCTCTGCAGCAATTAACCCTACATTCTGTACACTACAGGGTATGGAAATCTGCAAGAGACAGTCCTAAGGAAAAACAGATCTCTTCCCAGAAACATTTCAGGCCAAGCTGTGTCTGGTGGGAGGGACACAACTCCACAATCCTCAGAACACACTGAGCGAGGTCCAACCAAGAGCAATTTGTCAATTCACTGCTAGAACAGCTCCACAGCTGGAGGCCAATATCATCATGATCTAAGGCATTTGGGTAAAGGATCTTCAAACCTCTAATCCTGCTGAGCACCCCCAGCTCTCCTGGATATTAATGAAAACTGAGGATGTTGGGCACTACTGATGAAATGCTCCCTTGGACAGGACCCACCATCCTCACCTCTCCCACTGCAGAGTGCTCGCAGGAACTTTTTTGTCCTAAAGATGTTATTTCATTTAAAGCAGGAATTCAAAAATCTTCTGGGCCCTATTGAAAGAGATCTAAAAGATCCTGCCTGTCTGAAGAAAAGAAGTTTCTGCTTGTCAGTTAAACAAAGGAATAACGCACAGCCTCCTTTATAGTGTGTACTTTACCTGTCATCCAACAGCCCATTATCACGTCACGGCAGAGTGCACTTTTCTACAGGTCACTTTGTTTAAAATGACATGGATAATGCACATGTCAGCGAGCTGACAGTCCCCACCGTCCTTCAGAGATAAAACCCAGCCACCAGCGCCTGTTCTTATCTGGGGTACATGCCTTGGTCTATCATCTAAGTCAGGCAGAACATGATTTCTCCAGAGAGCACTTTTTTCATTTCCTGATTTTAAGAAAATCAAATAAGCACCATTTGTCTTCATCTGAATATGCTTGACCTGCTCAAATGATGATGTCTCGCATTTTATAACAGGCTACATATGCTGAATTCAAATTAACAGCAGAACAAGGCCCTTGGATCTTTGCCTGGGCTGCCAGCTCAGCCTGAATAAATATGCCAGGGTGAGCAGTGATCTCAGAACTGGGCCTGAGCTGTAGAGCTCAAAGATGGGTCTGGTTGTGACATTTGGAAAGCACTGAATTTTTAGGGATATTTGGGTCTGCACTTAATCTCATTTCATTAAGGGGAAGACAAAATACAGAGCACGGAGATGAAACACACATCTAGATTTTAAATCCTGCTCACATAAGTACTGGGATATTCTGTGGGAGGTACAGTGTTGAGCCTCCCTTGTAACTGTGCTGTGGAAACCATCCTGGACCAGCATCCCTCCTCCATCCCCAAAAGCTGCCTCTGCCCTTTTACACAGGAGGGCTGCAAGAGAAGAATTCAGTGAAACAGGCAGAGGTTCAGCTCCATAAACGCTGCAGTGACAGGAAATTACACTTTTGGTTCTGGGTGCCATAAACATAGAAGCTGAAATTCAGTTTATCATCTTCCTCTGCATAAGGAACATCCTGAAAATGAATAATCACTTCACAGGATGGAATGTAATGGTAATGCATTAAAAATTCATATTGAAAAGTGCAGGTTAATATTCTGTGCAAAAACCCAACAAAACCTCCCCTTTCTGTTGTCACACTGATTAACTCCAGTGATTAGTTCCCTTATGCAAGGAAAATCATTGCATTTCAAAGTAAACAGCAGTTCTTTAACACAGTTAGCAAATTATTAAGAAACATGAGGAAAAAAATCCTCTATTTGGGAAAAGAGCTGAAGGGCAAAGCTTTGGAAGTTATATAAAGAATGGTTTGAGAATTTCCTTGGCTTCCTGTTACACAAACCCTGTAGAAAACTGATTAAATTCATGGAAGGTGATTTTTGTACTCATTGTTTCCCCCTGGATTTTACAGCATATTTGCACTTGGCTGTTGGATAAGCTGCACACCAGCATGGTCATCCCTCCTCTTCTGCCTCGGAGCTGGTTAACAGAACCACTCATGAAACTCTAACCACTTCAACATTGTTATAAGAACAATATTTTCTGACATTATTTTACCCTCCCCTGACTTCCACCCCCCAATTTATGCGGGGAAAGAAGAGGCAAAAGTGATTACGTTATCAAAACATCCCTTAAGGCTCAACACACAAATAAAAGTCACAAATTGCAACCTGGAAATAAAGAAATTAGACCAGTTTTTCTGGGATGATTATTTCAGTTTTGCCAAAGAAAAATGGTTCTGTTCATGATGTAAAATAATGGATAAAAATATTCATCAGTATGGATACCAGTTCTTCATTACTATTTGTCTTCTGAACAGTAAGCAGCATCAGAGACCATTTCCTGACTCTTTCAGCATTAATTTTCCCCCCTTTCCCACACAGAAACCCAAAATCACGGAGACAGTGATCAGCAAGTTGTGTTACTTGACTTCATGTACAGTTTCCAAATGTTTTTTCTAAAAGGTACATAAAGCAAGCAGAACACTTCAGGAGGAGTTTGGAGGCCCTTGCTTGCAGAGAAGCACAAGAGGCACTAACAGGGGTTAAATAACTGTGAAGAAGTGTAAATGTGAGGGTCACCAACAGATGCTGCCACATCTTCCAAGGGGAAGTGTAGCCATGGAAAGGGTTGGCAGTGAGACTGGCATTCATCAACAACCCACACAGACCTTGGCATCAATATGCTTAAAGATGAATTGTGCAGCCTCCAAAATATTCATTAGAATTCTCTTTCCTTGGAGGTCTATTCCAAAATTAAATTAGAGACAGAAATTTTCTTCGTACAGAGATGCTTTAGATTAATCCAAGAAGAAACTTCAAGTAAGTAACAGATTAAGAGGAATAAGAGAATCCAATAAATTAGTTTTTCTCCCGTATTGGTTTTCTTTCTTACCTTTTCTTCTTGATCACTGTCGCTGTCACACTGAAACACAAAAAGAGAAAAAGCACAGGTAAGAGAAACTTGCTACAGCAAAAAAAAAGATAAATATTTCTGTGAACAAGATGGGTGATACATTCATAGATGTTGGCTGTCACATCTGGCACCTTTAGGAACAAGTTCAGTTACTGTATGGGAGGAAATTTCCACTGCTCTTGCAGGGGACACATTTTTGTGTTTGAATGATGAAAAAAGGGCCCTGCTCACAGCAAAAGCCATTTGCAAAGCCCTCTGTCAGCTCAGCTCAGGGGCACAGGAGCTGATGGGCACCTTCAGACTCCAAAACTGCATCAGGGAAGAAGAAAAACAGCCTTGGAGGGCTGGTGTGTTTTCTCTGGATGGGCAGTGCTCCTCATGCAGGGAGCTCCAGGGCTCCATGGGGATGCCCAGCACAAAGAGAAGAGTTTGCAAGGCTGCTGTTCCCCAGGAGCACAGGGAAAAGTCACCCTGTGCCTGTGCTGGTGGCTGCTGAGCTAAAGAACCCAGAGATCACAGGGAAACAAGAACGTGCCACGGTCACTGATCCCCTGCGGCTCTCTGGGAGCAGCACAGACACCACAGTTTTACAGAATGCTCAATTACTAACTCTGGAGACTCTTGATATTTACCCAGGGCCATTGCTCAGTTCTTAAATAAGTTTTATTATTGTATGAATAGAGCAGGACTAGATCACTCGGTGTTTCATAAAGACAAGCATCAGAACCCAAACCACGTCTGCATTTGCCAGAAGTACAAAATCTGTGTTGGCAGCAGGACTCTCAGAACCCTGGAACTCACAGGTTTGATCCCTCCCACCAAATTCTGGGTGCCTGCACCTCCTCTTGGGGGTTTGTTTTGTTTCTCTCTACTGCTGTAGGCTCTGGAGGAGGAATTGTCTGTATCACTCAAGACTGAACTCACCTCTGCCATTGCATGGCAAACATTTCCAAGGAAAACATCACCAAACTGGAGACTCAGGCTTTGCTGCCTGAGGACTGGCAGGCTCTTACAGCACTCAGTTAAGCTCTTTAGGTATTTATATCATGTTTATTGCATCTTTGAGGATTTTTGTAAGACAACCAAATTGCTTTGAAATTAGTTCTATTTTGTGAATTCCAAAGGTTAACTGTACAGTGGGATGTGAACAGACAGAGCCAAACACTCCCACAAACACACATACTTGATTTGCACAAATCAACTCATCTTCTGCCTGTTGTTTAATTATAACTTTTCTGTTTCGCTGGCTTTTCCCTTGTCTTCATCAGTACAGGGGGTGAAAAGGTGCCTTCCCTACACCACTGAGCTATGTACTAACAAATTAGAGCTAAGAACTATTTCTAGGTATTTTTAAACTAATTTTAAATGAAGGAAAGATTAGATAAAATTACAATCTCCTTGCAGCTGATTCCAAATAGAAAAGGAAGTGAAATTTATTTAATAACTGAAGTGATTGATATAGCACTGGTCGCACCTATTTAATACCAGAGTATTTACTCTGGAAACAAACAAATGAGAAGAAACATGAAGACAGGGGACAATTTTAGCTTTAATTTTTAAAACCTCACCCAATGTTCGAATTAATGAAGAGTCCACTTAACTGACAAAAGGAAAGCATTTCTAGAAGAGCATGGCATTGATATAAAGTACTCCTACCTTACCCCATAAATAGAATGCATTTTGACTTCAACAAGACTGCCTGTATGAGATTTTGGTATAAAGGTGACCCTGTATTTACAAAGAAGAAAAACTGCTTGTGGATTTTAATCCATGAAAACCACAGCACAGAATCAGAGAACCTCCTGAGCTAGAAGGGACCAGGAGGATCACCCAGTCTCACTCCTGGCCCTGCACAGACATCCCCAAGAATCACAGAGCATGTCACAAGCATGAATGTCACCAAGATTTTCCATTTGCTATTTCTGATTCTGATATTGGAAAAATTCAGCTTTTGGCTCCTGCCACCTTCTCCCCCTGGATGGTGAGAGCCAGGAGCTCCCCAGGATCCATCAGCACCTCCTTTGTGTTTCCCAGGGAGCAAAGGAGCAATTGTTCCGTTTGTTTGTGCCTCTGAGGCAAACTCCAAGTCTTGATCAGACTGAATCCAAAAGTGAAAATAAAGGGGGAAAAGGTGGGTGTCTAAGCAGGGAAGAGCGATTCCCCTGGAGCAGCAGGGTTCAGAGGGTTTCCAGGTGCCACCCACTCCCTGTGCAGGGCACCTGAGCAGGTGCCCTGTGACCCAGCAGTGCTCAGAGCACTCTGCAGCCTCTCCTTTCCCCCAGTTTTGGTCTGATTTAAAGAATCTCTCCTCTGCTGTAGTTTTTAGCGACTCATAAGCTTGGAAAAGCTCAGGTTTTTTGTGTTCCCTGCATGGTGGAGGTACCTGGGGAGAAGAGAGCTTGCCAGCACTGACATCTGAATTTGCCAGCAGAACAGCTCCACACACCCTAGTGAATCTGCAGAGCAGAGTGGCTGGGAGGCCATTCCCACTAAAGAGTTAAACCTCCAAACCTCCTGCTCTCCCACAGTCCAGTTCTAATTTCAAGGTCCGCTTAATTCCACATCAAATAATTACCGCTGTACCCAGAAGCACCTTGTCTCCAGAGCTAAGCATATGGCGCAGGACGAGACCTACTGGTGTCCATTATGGAAGCAGGGCGGGTGCCAAGGCCATTAAAGATGCTCCTGTTCCCTTCCCAGTGTGCCCAGTGAGTGACAGCTCCGTGCTGGGGCGGCTGCCAAAGCTGCGCGGGGCTCTCGGAGCAAACGCTGCCATTCCTGCTGCTCAATTCCCGAGGACTTTGCTGGGAGCTCGGCAGGACTGCGCCATCCAATTTACAGCCCCGGCCTCCAGAGCCCTCCGTGCCAGCCTCTGGCAGAGACGGATGATGGTCAAAGCCCTCCGCTTCATAAATTATGCAAAGGCAATAAATGCGCTGGGCAAACGGCTCCTGGTGTTTGGGCAGCCTGGCCCTGGGCAGCTCCTGCCCTCTCACACAGGGGCTGGCCACCACGGAGAGCCCAGTGCCCAGCAGGGCTGTCCTGGGCCAGTGGCAGCGTGCTGGGGACCAGCTGGATGCAAGAAGAAAAGGAGGGAGAGGAAGAAAGGGCTCTAAGCAGCGCCCTGGGGTTGGATATCTGCACAGCACCTGTCCCTGGGGGTGTTTGTGTGTGTGCAGGACTCTGCACTGGCACTGCAGCCAGCACTTTGTGTGCAGGGGTGATGCCAAAAAGGGAGAAGAAAGATGTTTGCTACTCAGGCTGGAAACAGAATTGGAGCAGCTGGATGTCGTCCCCGTGCCCCAGGGTCAGCCCAGGCACTGTGGGCACCGTGCTCACACACACCCACCCGGGCTCTGATGTGCCCATTTACATTTCTGGATCCAAGTTGTCCCCAGAGGTGCTGAAGCACAAGGTGTTTCCATCTCCTGCAGCCTCACTCCTCCCCAGGGCAGGAGAGCACGTTTTGGAAACTGAAGCTGACAACCATGAAGTTGATTATTCAGAATTACTGGTCAATTTGAAGGCTTGAGTCTGCACTGCTCACTCAATTCCTCCAGCATCTCCCTACCTCCCAGGGCCACAGGAAGAAGTAAAATGATTTAAGTGCTTTGTGGTTCTCAGAGCTCCAGACTGTTTTGGAATTGAAGCGATGGAAATACTTTGTTCTGGCCTGGGCAGCTTTTCAGTATTCCATGTCTATTACAAAAAGCTCATTTCTCGGTGCTCTCCCACGTCTTCTGTCAGGAAACCATGGGTCTGTGCACAGGCTGCCTTGGAATATCCTGCAAATAACTGGGAATCCAAAGCATCATTCAGAGATAGCCTGACCTGATTTTTGGATAAGTGCCACTAGCTTCAGTGGGGGCTGAGAGCAGTAATGTGACAAATCAGGACAAGGAGGCTGCAGACACATTTTACACCTCAACAAACAGAGGCTTCCTGCTCTGATTCTCAGCTCAAGGCACTTTCTGTCTCTGCTCTGAACACAAGTTGTGACTGATTAAAGCTACCCCAGGCCAGGCTTGAGAGGAGCCCAGAGCCAAATTGCCAAATCCTCCCTACACAAGCCCCTGGCCAGCCCTCAGCTCGTGCTGGGCACAGAAGTGAAGCCCAGATGGGCAGAACTGCTGAGCACCCCCAGCCCTCTGGCCGGCCAAATTTTCACATGCACATGGTCCCAAAATGCTGGGAGAGCTTCTCAGATCACAGCCTGACAGGCTGCTCAGGGGGAGCACTCTGCAAAATGGGGATTTTGTACTTCTCAAAGTCTTGCACTGGCCAGAAGGGACTCAACAGTTTTCCCAAAGGACTTATAGGACTAGCAACAAAATTCAAAGCAAGCAAAGCTCACTCAAAATGATCTTCGTTGATAAAAATCTTACAGGACATATGGAAATGCTAAGGGTGCTTCTAATTTCTATATAATTGGGGTAATAACGAGACTAGACTGACTGTGATTTGTACAAAGTGGCCACAGTTATCACTGAAACTGTTCCAATCCCTTAAACAACCGAAGTCACCAGCCATCACATCACCTCACACACACACACACACCAAGTGTTCAAGCCTCCTTTTGCAACATTTCTACAACTCCCTGCTCCAGAAATGCTAACCACAGTCAGTGACCCAAAACATTGCATTTTCATAGGTGTGACGCAGCCAAAATTCAAATAATTATCCCTAAAATCAAGCCAAGGTGAGGAAGAAGACATACAAAGTCAAAAGATCTTGGTACCACCAAAGCAGAAAGCTCCTCTTTCTGCCCCAGCCTGGAGCAGGCAGCCTGGGCTGTGCCTGCAGCAGATGCACCCCCTGCACACACAGACCCGCAGTGGGAAGAGGAAAAAGAACTTCCCAGTTCCCACTTGAGGCATAATTGCTCCTGTGTATTTTTTTTTAGAAGAAAAGGGAAACTGAAGATCAGGCTAAAGATTATCTGCACCTCCCCAGCCCTCTGTCCCGGGTGGAGAAAGTTAAAATGCACAGCACATCTCCCACAGCAGCCG